GGTGGGGGGGTGCCGGGGGGCCCCCAGCCACTCTCGGTCGGCTCCGGGGACAGGGCAATCCTGCAGTTCTGCGGGGTATATCAAGCACGCGTGTTATTTGGGCCACGCTGTTTTCAATCACTCGGCTCCCACCCTCCAAACCTATCCCACCGCTCTAGACCCAGCCCCTTGCTGCATTAGCTTGTGTGGCCGTGAGTTACACCCGCCTGTTGCATCTGGGCCACAGCACCCAGGCAGGAAGGTCAGTGCACTTCTGTTCTGCATGGGCAGGATCTGACCACAAAACTCCTCCTGTAGGAGATGGGCTTATGCATGTCTGGAGGCTGTGAGGCCAAGAGGTGGCCCAAAAACCACGACTCACAAAACCAGCCATTTCGAAGAGCAAGATCCACCCATGCAGCTAGGCACCAAGTACTTTAACAGTCCCTGGGAAGAGGGAGAGGCTTTTGGGGGTATGGCCTTCCAAGCAGAGAGGTTGAAACAATGAGGGTAGGAAGTGGGCCACAGTGAGCCAGACTGCTGACTTATCTCCATTGACTTCAGTGGAGTCTGAGGCAGGCTCCGGACTGATTTACACTGCTAAAGGCAAGAGAGTCTGTTCACAAGACCCCAGCCTTCCCCTAGGCACCGTAACAAGGAGGATCCTTAGGGGGCCAGCTGTGCGCAGTAGCAGCATCTGGACTATGACGGCACTGCCCGTTCCAACTGAAGATCCAGTGGTTTTTCCCAGGGGTGCAAAGATCACAAAATCTCAGGGGCCAGAGAAAGAAAGGAGGATTCAGCCTTCTCCAGGCCAAGGCAGGGTGGCTCTACCACCACCTGCCAAAGGCCAGAATCGTAGAGCAGTGGGGCTGGAAGGGATCCAGGGATCATGTCTAGTCCAACCCCTGCCTGAGGCAGGATCAGCCCTCTCCAAACCATCCCAGACAAATCCATCATCTAACTCCCTCACAAAACTACTGCCAACCCTGATGCAACACAAGGCATCGCACCCAAACCTGCCACAGGTAAGGCGGGGGGACCACAGCAGCCAACATCCCATTAATATACGGTCGAGAGATCCCAAGAGGCCATGCCCCTGCTACAGAGGAAGGCGAAAAAAACCCCACAGCCCATAGGCAGACAAGGTTCTTTGGGTAAATCTGATATCTTTTATTAGACCAACTCAAATGTTGGAAAAATTCTTCTTTGCAAGCTTTCGGGTATAAATACTCTTCGTCAGGCTGAGGAACCCACAGCACCTTGTCTGCCTATGTCCTTAGACCAACACGGCTACAACCTACACCCCCCCCAGTCTATATCCATCTGACCATGGGGTAAAAATCCTTCCTGATCCGCTGCCCGGCCCTGTCTTAATTAACCCCTGGGAGACAGCTTCCATCCAGGGGTTGCTGATCTCACTGTTACGACCTTCTCCCTGGTTATGGGAATTGCACATAAAGCCTGTCTCTGGGGACAGACAGAGGTATCAGTTCTGTGGACATCTAACGATACCTACATCAGCACTTACAATGAAACTGTTGCATTCTCTCGATTTGATCGTTCCACTGGGGTCCAAAGTTAAGAGTGACTGAGCTAATTGGTGTCACTATGAGACGCAACAGATCCGCACAGCCCAGGGTGCTCACAAGCAGCCGGGCCGAACTCTTTGCCCTCCCTCCAAACACCGGCAAAGTCCTGGCACAACCCACCTCGCAGCGGTAGCAGGCCTCGTGGAAGTTTCGCCCCAGGCACTCGATCTTGTAGACGTCTCTGCCCTCGTTCGGGATGATGGGCTCCTCGCAGGCACTGCATACGGAGGCATATTTCCTGGCGGGACAAACAACCAGTCTCTGAAGCCCTATCCATTAGCTGCCACAATCTGCAGTGCAATTTGAAATGAAAAAAAAGACTCTCCTCCCTCAGCTGTCCTGGGGATGGGCAGTGTAACTGGGCAAGATGACCCGTGATGTGGAGACAGTCCCAATTCTGCTCTGGTTTATGCTGGGTTTACACCAGCAAGACCCCACTGAGTCCTCACTTCCACCAGCGTGGGAGTAGACCCCGGCCACGCATTCATGTGACTAGAAATTAAATGCGAGTGAATGCCAAGACCCCGGAAGAAGAAGAGAAGCAAAGGCCTGGACATGCAGCATGTCTGCAAAGGTATAATTTATGGCGGGGTTATAAAATTGCAGCGGGACACAGAGCGGAGAGCTGCTCTCAGTCAGGGCTAGCAGAGTGTCTCACCACCAAGCGACAGGGGAGGAGGTAATGGCCTGCCTGCCTTGAGCAAACACCTACCCCGGATGGAACGGGACAGATGACAGCTATGCTGGGGTTACTTGAACCGCTGTGGTTTTTCACCTGATCTTTCCAGGTTAAGCGTCCACTGGATACAAGTCATTACACTGATCTAAGGGTTTACATCCTCTGCCCACTCTTCTTTTACACTGTTGTCAATGTGTTGCATGTCCAGACCAAAGGAAAAAGAGTCTTGCTCACCAGATGCAAGTGGAAGGGCTCCATCCCACCAACCACTCCTCCCAGGAGGAGTCCACTTGCACAGCCCACCACAGGGCTTTAATGAGAGCCCTGGACAGCCTGGGTTTGCTGGCCTGAGTACCTTGCTCTAGCAATGAAGGGCCTGCTCTTTCTACCCCTGGAATTAGTGGGAGCACGCCTGGATGCCAAGTTTGCAGAGGTCACAGACTCAATTCCTCCCTGCTGCACAGCTGGGCACCCAGCAACCCCTTGCAAAGCTGTTCTGAAACACCGCGGGTGGGAGCGATTCAGTGTCATTCACACCCTGGCTTCCCAGGGGTGAACGACTCCTCGCTTTGCATCTTGTGGAGAACCAAGCCCCGAGAGAGGAGGAGCAGGAAGAGGAAGCAGCCGCTGTTATAGGAGCTGGCGTCCGCTGGGAACACCGGGTACCTGTAGAAGTCATCGACGCAGTGCACCTGGTCCTGATCGTCCACTGCAAAGCTCTCATCCCCGATGCCCCGGCCACACACGACGCAGGTGAAGCACGCCGGGTGGTACCCGTTCCCCAGGGCTCGGACGATGTGCTTGAGGATCACAGCCTGGCACTTGGCACATTTCTCCAGGGTGTCCTGGGGCAAGGAGAAGAAGGGCAGAGACCACTCAGAGGTGCCTCCTACACCTGTCGTTGTCCTGACTTCAGAGCCTACTGCTTTGGTACAAGTAATACCCATAGATGCATCGCAATTATGGGACACAATGTCCACCTGTCCTGCAGCAACAATCCTTTGCCTCTTGGCAGTGCTTTGTCTCTGGGTTCTTTCCAGCCTGTTCTAAAGCATCCATGATCTACATAAGCATCACCCCATTTCACAGGTGGGAAAGGCAAGGCACGGATCGGGTATGGTTCAGCCAACCAACCAGGGTCTCTCTCACGGTCAGGCCCTCAGCTCCTGGTTTTCAGAGAGCAACATGAGATGGGCAGTGCTCAGCTCCTCCCAACACCACTCTCAAGGGGCCTCGGACAGAGCAACCAGATGTGGAGGCAGAGGCTTTGTCTGGAAATCTGGGCCTAAGCAATTTGGCACAGATCGCCTGGTTGGAGTCAGGGAGGGAACGCAGCAAGCTGGAGCACCTCGCCCCCCGTGCTCACCACCTGGCCTGGTTGTGCTAGGGGCTGAGCACCCCTGCAGTCATTGGGGGCCCGTGCACGATCAGGCTGTTGTTCTGTCTGGGCTTACATCAAATCCAGCGTATCTGGTCATCACAAAGACGAGTCTCCCCATGGGGTCTCCCTGCACTCAGCCCCCCCAGGATTCACCTCTTGCCAAGCTGCGGAAGTCCCCAGTTCCCCTCCTACTCCAGAGCCAGAGCCTACACCTGGGGACACAATGGCCTGGTCCTTCCCACGGCCCCGCGCCCAGACCGCTTACCTGGTAGCAGGAGTCGCACATTGGGCGGCCGTCTCTCTGGTAGTAGCGCTGGCCCGCCAGCCGGCAGTGGCAGACGCGGCAGGTGAAGCAGTCCGCATGGTACTGCTTCCGCATGGCCTCGATGGCCGGCGCCCGGGTGGATATGGCTTTGTGGCAAAAGGCGCAGACGTCTGCAAGGAAGGAGGACATCACGGCACTGGGACTGGTGGCTCCTCCCAGGCAAAGCCGCCAGCACCTGAGGTCCCTGTGTCAGCACCAGGGGAGAAAACCAAGCCTCGGGGCCCCGGTACATCCCACGGTGGGTGGGAGAGTCACCGATGAATTTTCCATTGTCTTCAATCCCCTCCAGCAAGCAACTTGCATCTTCCCCTTCCCTTACGAGGCTCCTGACACTCCCTTCCCCCTTCACAAGGCTCGTGATACCCCTCGGCAGCCCCAGTGCCCTGGCCAACCCCAGCCCATCCTGTGCCAGGCATCGGGCTGCTGCCACGCATGAAGATGTGTCCTGTATCAGGGCAGCGCTCTGAGGCCAGGGCCTGGGCCCCATAGGAAAGGGCAGGCCATGCTCTGGAAAACGTTGTGCCAGTGGGGAGGCACTCAGGACCCTATCACCTGCTGACAGTGAGCCCCAGCCCTGTGCCTCAGTTTACCCACCTGGGGACAACACTGCCCATTTTGTCTGCACAGCACATTGGGAGCTGGAGATGCAAAGTGCCATCACAGCACCCAGCGCAGTGACATGGGCTCGCTGCAATCAGCCTTTCCGCACCCGTCCTGCTCCTCATTGTTACCTCTGGAGACGTCTCTGTCCAGGTGCCCGTTCACACCCTCCTTTGGTTCCTGCTGCTCCCGGGCTTGCGCCAGGCTGCTCGGCTGGCTGTGGTGCTGCCTCTGCTCTGCTGGGAACACGGTTGAGGCCTGCTAAGCAGAAAGAGGCCTGGTGAGCAGGGGCCCCGGGTGTCTCACCGGTCCAGGCTGAGCACGGGGGGATGGCAAGAGCTTCGCTGTGCCTTGGTGACAAACTGCTGGCAAAGAGCAGGAGCACCTTGGGGACAGGCGGCATTTGAATCACATCAGCTCTGCACGCTGCTGCAGAGACAAGGCAGTCAGTCCCTGGGCCGTGGGGGAGAGCTTGCAAATCCAGTCGTTCCTGGAGAACAGCGACACACGCTGTGCTAGCGTAGAGCAGCCATCACGCCAGGAGCTGTATGCACACAGTCCCTGTCGTGCGACCCTGCGAGCTGACACACAACAGCTGGGACAAAAGCAGGATCATTGGCCCCATTATACAGACGGGCAAACTGAAGCATCAAGGGACAAGCGACTTGCTTAAAGTCACACACGGATTCCAGGAACAAGTCTGTGTCAGAGCGGGGAACCAACACGAAGCATGTCCCAAGGACTAGGGTGCTGCTCTACAGGCTTCAGGGTTAAAAACACCTAGGAAAATTGGGCCGTGAAACCTCCCCAGTGGGGCCTGAGCAACCAACCCGTACCTGCAGAGGCCTGGGGGAGGCCATGTCCAGCTTCTGCAGGTCGGGGATGAGGGTCTCTGCCGGCCGGGCGTGCGGCGCGTCTGCGAGAAGGCACGGCGGAGGAGGAGGCGGCGGGGGGAGGTTCGGGGCAGAGCCCGTGGGGACATCAGCCGGGCGAGGAAAGGAGGAAAAGCCTGAAACACACAAGGAATGGCTCTGGACTCTGAGGGGCTGGGGGCCCTGCCATCCAGGGCAAGTGCTTCCAGATCTGGTGGCTCCACGTGGGCGCCTTGTGGTCCAGGCTGAGAAAACCTCCCTCCCCAGAGAGGTGCAAGCTGGTGGATGTAGGGAGACACCCCACGCTACGAGTCCTCCAGGGAGGGACTGCTGGGCAGGTTCCTGCCTGTGCTTTGTAGCAGCGGTGTCATCTGAGCCTGGGGTTTCATTTGTGGACATGTGTCAAACTGGGGACACACGTGTGTGCAGAGGCAGGCAGGATGCACATGTTCCCATTGCACCTGCAAAGAAAGCTGCCTGCACGATAGCCCCATCGAGAAGCTGGCTTTGGTATCCCTGGGTACAGAGTGGGGACCTGAAGCCAGACAGGCTAAGTGACATGCTCCAGGCCATGCAGGGAGTCTGTGACAGAGCCAGGACCTGAACCCAGGGGAGACAGGAAGGGAACGAAGCCGAAGCGGCTGGTCCCGTGTTGGGCCTTGTGGCAGTCTGGCCCTACTCCTGTTCTCGCTGAGCCATGGTTTGGACTTTGACAGTGCACCCCCACAGTCGTGCTGGCCGAGGTAGTGCGCTTGGGGGGTAAAACGCCCTGAAGGCAGCAGCCACATGTCTCTGGTGGCTGTTTAGGGGGAGGCTGTGCAGGGGGACAGAGGAATCGACCTGCACATCTACTTGCTAGCAAGTGGCCAAATCCATCTGCTCAGCCCTGTGTTTGCTCTGCAGCCCACACCCCACCCAGCCTGCTCCGGGAAGGATACGACCAGCCCAGAAGGCAAACTACCTTCGCCATGGAGGTAGTGGGAGCGTGGTAGCAGGGCCAACAGACCCGACAACCAAGTGGCGATGGGCAGCAGCTGGCACATGGAGAAGGCTGGGATGCCTCCACGTCACGCCAGCAGCTGGGGAGCTGGAAGATGAGGACTACGGGATCCTTCGGCCGTGCTTGAGATCCCCTCCAGCAAAGCAGGGCTCCTCTTCCCACTGGAAGCACCTAACCCGCTATCTGCCTGGCACCAGGGGAAAGCAGGGGGTGGCTCCACCTTGCAGCTGGCTACTTTAGGGCCGGAGCCTGGCCTGGGCGGGGAGGGCTGCAAGTACAGGTGGTGATGTGCTGAGAGGCTGCACTGAGGGCACCTGTGCCAGGGTGGCCCGGAGGGACCAGCAACGCAAGCGCGGTGCCCACAGCCTGCCTCAGAGGCAGGGGAGCGCCCCAGGCTCCATGCTGCAAGAGGAGCAGCACAGAGACGAGCAGGGAAGGAGCAGAAAGCAAGACCCAGCCTGAACAAGCAGCTGGGAGCTGTGCCCTGAGGAAAGCGCAGGGAGAGCTGCTGAAGTCCAGGGCCTCCAGCCTTCAAACATCCTCTGCAAACAATTTGTGGCTCCAGCACCACACCCTCCTCCCCAGGGGAGCAACCTGTGACACCCCCTATTGTCGGCCCGGGTCCAAAAAGAAGGATGCGAGCCCCCCGCACTGCACGTTGTCCCTTACATTCGCCTTACCTCCATTGGACGAGCCCCCCCGGCCAGGAGACGGCCCGGCGTGTCCCAGGGTCCTCCCATTCTGCTTGCCAGCAGGGCAGCTGGTGGGCAACTTCTTTGGGGGCGACGCTTGGAGCGGCTGAGTCCCCGCAGGTTTTGCAGCCTCCCTGAGAGGCTCCGAGCTGGGCTGACAAACCTCCGGCCTAATGCCTCCCTTGATGGCCGCATCCCGCTTTGGCGGGGCCAGGGTGATGTATACGGACGAGGCAATCCTTTTCTCCACCTTCCCGGACAGCATCTTCCACGGGGGGCTCTGGAAGGGACAGGGGCAATGAGAAGGAAGCCAGGAGCTGCGCTCTTCCTCCCGACGGGGCTCCCGCCGCCTCCGTCCCCCTGGCCGTGACCCCGCAACGCCTCTCCCGGTCAAGATCCTCCCAGTCTGAGGCTCTCCCGTTTCCCACACCCTGGGCGCGTAGGCAGCGGCGGAGGTGAGCTGGCTTTTGGGGCCGTGCCCAGCTGCTCCCAATGAGCTAGAGCTATTTCCCCTTTGGCTCCTATGCACTCAGCACTATCGGCCCGCACACGCCCTGGCGTTCAAAGTCTGCCTTCCTGGAAAGGAAGGAGAAAGAAACCAGCCCATCGCACCCAACAGGAGCCCAGAAATCAGCTCGTTGCTCTGCGGAGCCAGGTGAGCTGCAAGAACAGCGTTGCCAACACGAAGCTGTTCCTGACGCCGCAAGGACCCTGTCCTGATCTCCCTCATCTCCATGCCCGGTTCATTACTAGGAGGAAGGAACTGGATCAGGAGCAAAAGCCCTGGGAAGCTGCAGAGCTGGTTTCTACGCCGTGCTGCTGCCACTTTGCTCGCTCTGTGCCTCTGTTTGCCCATGCATAGGGCAGAGAGGATGAGCCTGGCCCATTTCAGAGGGGCTGTCACCTTGGAGCTACAAAAAGGGAGGCAGCAGAGGCACAGAGCGGACAAGGATGGTGCACAGCTATTTCTACAGCACCAAAGCTCAAAGGCTTTCACTTGCCTCGTAGGCTACACATGCACCAGGGCATCCTGCCAGCCTGTGGGAACGGGACAGCTCGAGGCTCTCGTACTGCGCTCCAGCGCTCCCAACGGCTCAGCCACGGCTTCCGCCCTGGCTGGCCTCTGTCACAGATGTGAGATGGGATTACCATCAACTGAGACTGGGATCACATGCAGAGGGTCCAAATCAGACAGCTCCCTGTGAACCATACAGCCCACAAAGCAAGGGCTTGACTCCCAGCCCCTTCTGCATCGACCCCAGTGGCTCCACTCAGACCCTCATTGCAGCTCTGATCCCTACCAGAGACTCTCTCATGAAGCACAGGCCCCAGGGCAGAGGTATGGCAAAGTGGGCAGCCTAGCCCTGGCATTTCTTGCCACTTAAGTGCTTTATTCTTTCCACATGGATGTCTGTGAAGAATCAAGCAGGGTGTGTATCCAGCATGGTGCAGCCATGGATCCCCAAGCCCTTTACACAAGAAGCCAGGAGCATCATCTGAGGGGGAAACTAAGGCACAGGGAGGGTCAGCGGCAGGAATAGTGCCCGCATCACTGAACCACGCTGTCTTCCCCAAAAAGCACACTGGTTCTTTGCCGCTCTCGGAAGGATGTTACTGGCTCCCACCAGTGCAAGGGGTGTGCTAAAAAGGAGGCTGCCGGCATGGACAGGTGCTCCCTCCCTGCCTGTCAGGGCATCATAGTACCAATCTCACCACCCCAGTGGGTACCAGGACAGCAGATGTCTCGTCAGTGAGGCTGGTCCCATATGACTATAGTAGACCATGGGCCTGAGCTCCCCCCTTCTCCCTGCAAGGGCAATGGGGGAAGCTCACTACAACACCAGGGATTTAACTACTGCCATTCATAAAAGCTACTTGGCTAAATTCCACCTCTCTCCCCCCGGCTGCTTTCTATGCTGGAAAGGACCCCCAGGCACTAACGAGCTCTTCCACCTCCTCCGGGAAAACTGAAATCAGCCAAACAACGTGTGCGCGAGGAGAGCGCGCAGCAGGTCGGGAAGGCCTGTGCTCGGGCAGATCCATGTCTCGGTCAAATGAATTCAGCGCGCGGATATGGAAACAGCGCACAGAAAGGAAGGGGGGAGATGCAATCAGATCACAGCAATCCTAGAGAGGTTGGGCTGGAAGGGATCTCTAGGGGTCCCTCTGGGCCAACCCCTGTCCTGCCCCCAGCGAGGGGGCAAAAAGCTGCCTCTGTCCATGGGCCGCATGGCACAGGTGGGCAATTCTTATGGACACATCTCTTGGTAGCTCCAAGTGATCAGGAAAAAGAAGACGTTTGGCCAATTTGTGTCGTCTGCATGGAGGAAAAGCCACAGGAAATCTGAGCTGAGGCACGTCAATCCCAAATGACCCCGGGTGCAGACAGACACGGCAATTACGCAGACATAGAAGGCAACAGGATTTATCCCTCGCGAACGTATGACCCCTGATGTGCTCTAATGCATCCGCCCCAGCCCGCAGCCAGCAGAAGCGAGCCTGGAGTGGGATCCTGTACAACGAAGCAGCTGCCGAGTTATCCTGCCTGACTCGGAGCGGAGCAGATGCCCAGAGCAGTTGCAACACATCAGCCTGATGACCAGCGAGTCCGGCCCCCTTTTCTAAATAACCAGAATGGTTTCATCTCTCCACGCCCTTCGTTTCGTTATTTCCTTCCGTTTTACTGCCAAGGCAGATAACACCCCGATTTGAAACAAAACATTTCATCCAGCCCGAAGACCACGCTGTCTTCCCATGCTCTGCGGCTGCCAGAGAACCAGTCTTGGCTGCAGCCAAGCAGCTGCTGACGGTGCACAAACGCGCTGAAGCTGGTTACAACATGGGAAGTCCTTGGCACCCTTTCCAGTAATTTTCCAAAGCCCATGGGAGGCCCCAAAAGCTGAGTGCTGTAACCTGGGATGCAGTGGGGTCCTTTGCTTCTCCATAGCACCATCCCCCCCACACTGTCAAACATGATCTACGGCAGGGCACGAAGCATCGCTCTGCATCAGGTCAACCCCCCAGGACCAGACCTCCACTCTCTTCCCAGCTCTGAACTCCCCTTGGGCAAGATCCCTCTATGCTCTGTGCCTCAGTTTCCCCAGATGCAAAATGCAAGAACGAGACAGACCCAACTCAACGAGAGGGGCTGGTCAGACCAAACTCATCAGTGTTTTGTGTGCACGGTGCTGAGAGACGCTCAGTGAAAGGTCCTGGAGGAAAGGCAGAGTTAGCTGATGCTTGGGCCCTGTCGCCTTTTGCATGGCATTATTTACGTGGAAAAATCAAGGAGTTTCAGTGACGCCCCCACAGGTCAGGGGAACTCCTGGGCAGCTGGCTAAGCGGCTTGTCCCTGATGTAGTGGCAAAAAGCAGCCAAAATTTCAAAACACAGCACAACCCTTCACCAGAGCCACCGAGCTGCAAGTTCTGCAGGAATCAGAAACAGTTTAGACTACTTACCAGGGTTTCCCCCTCCCTAAACTGGCCCGCAAGCCGTTGTCTCCCAAAGTGGACGACGTCTCAGCGCGCGCCTCTGGCAGCGACGTCTGTAGCAGCTGTGATCGCTTAGAGAAGAACCTGGTGGCAGAAAAGCACGTCCGGTTACAATCAGCGCCGAGCAGCATCGTGACCTGAGATTGATGTCCCTAACAACCTCCTTGCAAGAGATGGGCCCAGACTCACGGAGAGGGTCGTCTTCTAGGATCTTAATTTGAAATTAGGAAAGATGCAAAAGGTAAAAAAAAACAAAACAAAGAACCCCCAAAAACCATTAACATAGTCTGATGACATCATCTGCCATAAACCATTAGCAGCTGGGGAAAAAAATCAGAATTAAAGGAACAGTTTGGTGCTTTTGGCCCCAAACTTCAGCTCTGTAGGGAGAGTTGTAACAACCTAGGACTTTTTGTATTTCATTAAAACAGGGGAACTGGATGGAGCTCAAATGTGACCCACAAATGGGGTTTTACTGCACATCTTTTTCTCTTTATGGAAAAAAAAGGCAATATAAACCTGAAAACATTGGGATTCTGGAGAGCGGCCCAACATCTCCAATCCTAGGAGCACTCACACATTCGGCTGAGAGCTGGCAGTCCTAAGTGTTTAACTTAGACTTGCTTTCTCCAAAACGTGACTTGACGGTTTCAATTAAAAAGGTGTGAACAAGAGAGAGAAAGTTTGAAAGGCTCCAATTAAAATCTCCCTCTCCTCTCAATTGCTCAACTTCCACTTTCTTGGCTGTTGCACTCTCATCATTTCACCCGCCTTTCGGCATCATAAATACTTCTGGACCAACAGGAGGAGAATTTCTATGGGTAGAAAGCATCTGGGGAAGTGGAGGCAGGCAAACAGACTTGAAACTCTTTCCAACACTATTTATACATGATAAGGAAGCAGACAACGGGCCAAAGCCCACAGATATTCTTCCCTGTGTAGGTCACATCTGGGTGTAGTTTCCCCATCAGAGCCAGGGCCTAAAACACAACTCCCGGGAGAGCAAAGAACTTTTTTCCGACTACTCAGTCGGTCTAATAAAAGATATCGCATCGACCCAAAGCATCTTGTCTGCCGATGTCCTTAGACCAGCGCGGCTACAACCAGCAACCCAGCAACTCCCAGGAGAGAGCAAGGAAGCGCCGCAGCGAGAGACGGGAAAATGCCCAGCCTGCAAAGCACAGCAAAGTGCGGAGAAGTCAACCAGAGGCCTGGACAGCTGAAAGTCAGCGGGAGTCTTCTCATCCTTCAGCCTGAGCTAAAAGGGTGGGAAGCTCAGGGCAGAAAAGTGTGTGAGTGTGAGTGGGCTGGAAGGGGGCACTGCTTCTCCTTCTACCTGTCTGATATCGCAAAGCCATTTCTGTTGCAAGCTGAGGAGTGTTTTTCTCAGCCAGGGTCCTTTAAAGCAGACCCTCCCCGTCTCCCGGCACACGTGCTCCAGCAAGCCAAGGGAGCCCCCAAGCAGGGGGTGACTTTCCAAACCATCTGCGCTGCAGAGCCGCAGCGTGCAAACCCGCGTCGCTCGAAGACCCGGCGGGAGCCCTCGCTCCTCGCCGAGATCCTGCGATAGGCTGAACCGAGCCCTTTGTCCCTCCGTGCTGATGTTTTAATATTGTTGCTTGGATTTCATTTCCTGGATCGCCACTCCAGGGGGGAGGGGGATCCCGCTATACCTGTGAGCCCCGGGCAGCCCTCTGTGATGGGGACCCAGTGGTACTAGGCTGACTCCAGCGAGTAGCATAATGAGAGGCGGGGATCTCAGGATTGGGGGCACGGAGGAAATGAAGTCCTGAGTCTGAGCAATATTACACACCCGAGTAACCCAGGTGAATGCAAACATACCATCTGCTTAGGAGCCTCTCCGCTCAAGGTCAACATAGGTAAATAAAATTAAACTAGCACCCACAACCAGGGTAGATGCACTTCGGCACCTCTCAGTGGAGACGCTCCAGTCCTTCACAAGCAGCAGTTAATTAGGCCTCCCAACAAAGCTAGGCAGTAGCCATCATCTTTTGCAAGTGGGGAAACCGAGGCACAGAAGCAGCCATTTGCCAAAGGTCACCGTGGCAGCCATCAGCAGGGCTGGCGTCAAACCCAGGAAGCTTAATTTGAAGCCCTTCTGGCTCCAAGCACCAGGACACCACAACCCCCTGGGTAAAGATGCCCATAGCATGGTTTGTGCGGCTGCTAACGTGCTTTGGGGCTGGCAGGGAAAGCACCGGACCCACAGAGATGAGGAGAGCAGAGGACACTCTTGCTACCAGCACACACTGCCCCGTAACAGGAGAGAGGATCCAGAGGTGCTCTGCCTCTGCAAAGGACCCCCCACCCCTTACGGCATGGCAAGCCCAGCGTAAGCCTGCCTGTGACCCGCGACTGGTAACGGTCACCCCCTCCGTCACACGTGGGGACACGGATGCACGACACAAGAACGCCACTGGCTCGCATCTGTGCAGGGATTCGGTGTGGACAAACCCAGCAAACCCGCGCAGGCCTTTGCCAACCGCCCCTGGGATGTTCCAGGCTGCAAAATTCTTCTTCTGGTGTCGAGAACGTGGTAGAAACCTCCCTCCTGTTGCTAAAGTAGGAAAAGGGAAGGAGCGAGGCCTGGGCAGCCTTCCAGCCGCTGTCCTGCAGGCCCCCGCTGGGCTAGGGATCGGGGTTCATGCAAGCTGCTTGCTCTCCGACTCTGCGGCGTGGGGGGTCCTGGTTAGACCTGCAGCCTGGCTCTGGCTCCTTCCCTGCAATCGGAGGCTGGCAGCGATCCTGGTCACCGGGTCAGGGGGTTCATGGTTCCCATGTGCAGAGCCAGCTCCTGCACCTTGGCTTCCTGCCGCTTCCCCTGCTCTCCTGGCTCCGTGGTACCATCCGGCCTCTCCTGCACCGTGCCCACATCCCAGTACTGCACATGAGGTCTCAGCGACCACCTCTACAGCCTCATCCCAGAGGTGCTGAGCCCGAGCGAGGTGCAAGCGTTCACCCCCTCGACAAGACAGAGCTCCCACCTCGATCCAGGGGAGCCGGGCACCTAAGCACCGCGGAGAATCTGGGCCAGGGCTCCACGTCTGATCCGTGCTACAGGCTCTTTGTGCTGCTTGACAGGGAACTGGAGAGCAGAAGAAATCCTGCCCCCAGCTAAGCGGGCTTTCATGTAACGAAAACCAGACCCCGAGCCCGTGGGGAGCAGGACGCAGCCCCAGCGTGTGGGAAGTGGGAAGGTAAACCCAGCACGCACATTCTGCGCATACTTTGTGCGTGACATAATGATTCAGAGATTTTTTTTAAAGCCGAATTCTCCCTCTTCCTTGGCTCAGAGCGCATCTGTTAAATGCCACGGAGCAAACAGGCAGCCCGGCCCCCGGCTCCCTGCACCCAACGTCTCCCGGCCTGCCACCCAAGGTGTGGGAAGGGAGGTCAGGAATGGACGGCTGCCATTCACCAGCCGCAGGCATGTCTCCAGGGGGGAAATCGTGAAGTCAAATTTCTTACAAAGGATACGCACGCGTTTGCTTCAACACAGGGGAAGCGACTGAGAGCCCGACCTCTCCATGTGGCGGCTGGAGACTTTGATCCCAGAGGTGGGCACATCCCAGCTTTTCCTCGGAGTCAGCTGCTGAGTGGGCGAAATGGCACAGAGAGGCCTGGGGACGTGTCTCGTCTTGCGGCTTCCTTCCCCTCCTCTGCCAGCCTCCTCCAGCTGACGCATGTGAGCACCACCGAGGAGCCGGGACCTCCGAGCCCCGTTCTGTCTCCGCAGCTTTGGGCAAGTCCCGTGGGCAAGATGGGACGAAGCGGCTGTGATCCTGGGGGCTCAATTTGAGACCTCTCGGGCGCTGCTTTCCAGAGGGCTGTGTGGTTACTCAAAGGGTAGGGGGTGCTCTGCACCCAGAGACATCAGCCCTGCAAGGTGTACCCTGGCTCGAGGGCTCGGTTTGGAAGCTGGGCTCCAGCCTTCCTCGCTCAGCTCAGCCACTTCCATGGAAACCTTCGGGCATGCGGAGCAGAACTGAACTGAGAACAGCTGAGCGGGTTCACCCGGTGCTTGGACCGGCCCCTGGCACAGACCCTCTAGGGTCTGTGAAGACAGCATCAGCATCTCCCGAGCTCTGGCATCGCTGTGTCTTTGCAGACCAGTGATCCTCGAAGGGTGCCATGAGGTGTGAGGACACGAGCAGATCTACTAAGCAGAGGTTCAGGCTTGTCCCTGCCTGGGCAATCTCCCACCTCCCCGACCCAGCACCTCTGCAGGAAAGTGAGCACTGAAATATATAAATAAGTGTTTGAATTTGGGGCTCTCAAAGGTGGAGACCCACTGCTGTGGACCCTGGGAATCCCGCAGGCCAGGGCAGAAGGTAGGAAGGGAGGCAAGGCTCAGGCAGCTCCTGCGGGTATAATCCTGCCTTGCACAGGGCCGCCCCCGGGAAGCGACGGGAGCTGCGGATGCATCCTAGGCCCAAACCCGCCGTGAGCTGCTCTCCGTAATCACTTCATGGCTGCAGGGGGGTGCAGCCTGGCCCCGTTGCAGGGAGAGCCGTGTCCTCCAGCCCGGCTGAGGGTAGAAGCCCAGCAAGGCTGGGGGAGACCACGACCCAGGGCAGCGATTCCCAGCCAGGGGAAGGAAGCGCTGTTTGTTCAGACCCAGACGGCCGTGTGTGGACAAGCCTGGCTTCACAATGGGAAAACAAACAGGGCCCTTCACATCCCAGAGCTCCACATTCATCTGTCAGCTCCTCTGTCTGCCAAGCCCAGCCACCTGGCCTCTCTCCTTCCCCTGGGGCAGGGCAGGGAGGGGGAGGCCGAACGCTTTGAGCTCAGCAGTTAAGGGCTGGGAAAGGGTTAATGGGGGTCTCTAATAACAGTAATCGAGCCCCCAGGCTCTTCCCTCCAAGCACATGAGGCCCAAGCAATGCACTGCTTCACCCCCATGTTGCCCCCTCTCTTGTCCCCACCATGGAGAGGCTAAGGGACTTGCCCAAGGCCGTGCCTCCCTCTGCTACCTCCAGCCACAAGCGCAGGCTGGCTCGCCTCCAGAGGTGGAATCAGGACTCCAGCCCTTCCCCCCAGCTGGGGTCCGGCCTGCAGGAGGGGGGTCTGGCATGGGATGCAGGGCCTGCCTGGGGCCCACTGCTGATCGTTGGCGCCACAGGGACCCGGCGTTAGCTTCAGGGCTAAGGTCAGTCTCTGGGTACTGGAGAGCAGGACGGGGGGAGGTAGCGGAGGCATGGGAAACCATTTCCACATGTGCTGCTGCGGGAGCTCTCGCAGGATCCTGGGTTAGATCAGCCTTGAGCCTGACTGGTTTTCATTCACTGTTTTTAGGTCCTTTAATCACACTCAGGCCCACGCCACCCTTTAACCTCAGGAACAATGGCCAGGCCCATGCCACCCTCCGCCTGGCTGCTGGGGTCCAGCCGCTGCCGACCGTGCGCCAGACGTGGCTGCTCACAAAGCGTGACTAACACCTCCTCCGAGACACAGGCTTTCCTCTGCACTTCCCGGCAAGGTCAGACACGATATAGCTCCGAATCATCAGGATGACGAAGTCCACCTGGTGAGCAAGCCTGGCTGCTTAACCCTTGCTGATCCGGGACCCATCCTTGAGAGGGACAGAGCTTCTTGGGCACAGAGCTTGCTGGAATGGCAGAACTGGGGATTTCTGAGCAAGGGACTTTGCTGCTGCTGGTCCTTTCTCCAGTGCCCAGGGAAACGGGACTTTGCAGGCCTGCCAGACGGTCTGGATACGCTCGGTCCCGCCTCAGTACAGGGGGCTGGACTAGATCAGGGCTGTCCAACTGGATGCCACTGCCTGTGACGGGAGCGCCAGGCTTGCATTGGCTGCGTGTGCCATATCAAACTGGTGGCTGCAACTGGTGGCCACATGCAGCCTGTGCAGGGTTAACTTGCCTCTGGGTTTGCTGCTCCCTGCACTGCCCTCCTGGTGCTGCTGCCAGGGTCTCCAGGCCCCCCTTCCGCCCTGCTCACGGGCAGGATAGCAGGACGCTGTGCATGGGGCTAAGGGAGCGGTCTCATGATCTGGGCCACACAAAATCTAAAGGTCCTTTCCAGCCCGTCTTTTCCACGACCCTAAGAGACACAAACCATCCTCCCGCTGGGACAAAACCCTGCATGGATGCAAGCCTGGTGCTCCCGTCACGGGCAGTGGCACCTTTCTCCTAGCACAATGCTGTTCTGCACCCGGTCGTTTCCGGCGCCCGGGGCTTTCCCCAGGCTTTTCTGCCTTGATTTGCAAGGATAAAAACTTTGCCCGAACATGCTCAGCCACTTTGGCAATGCTGGGACAGTTACGTGCCGCTCTAGCAAGATGGGTGTCCTAATCCCCACAGGCATCTCCACAAAATACCTGTGCAATGAATGGCTCTGCCTCCCAGGGCAGGAGATGCAGTGTGGCCCACTGCGGGGCATGGGCGGGGGCTGCTGTCTGCTCCCGATCCTGAATGCTCAGACCAGCTATGGAGCTACACCAAGTCTGACTAGCCAGCATCAGGTCCTGGCAGTCCTCCCAGGAGCTGGAGACTGCCTGCTGGGACCCCGATTCCTCCCCCCCTCCAAGAGTCCTACCTCCCCTATGACCCCCACACAACACCCCCCTTGATGACAGCCATGTCACACACCCAGGGGAGCAGCTGGCCAGGCCCACGGGCACTGCAGAGACCCGGGTTCAATTCCCTGCTCTGCCATGGGTGTCCCGCGGCCCCTGGGGCATGTCACTTAGTCTCTCCAGGCCTCAGCTGGTGCAATGGAAATGAGAGCAGCACCCCATCTTGCAGAGGATGTTAAAGACAATGGAAATCCTCCAGTGCTGTGGTCACAGGGGCCAGCTAACCTCTATCTCGGATAAGGTTTAGTGGCCCGGCAGCCACACCCTGCCACTCCTGCTCCAGCTGCAGCGCTGCCAGAAGACGCACGGGCTTGGGGGAGGCCTTCAGCTGCCCTCAGAGCCCGGCCAGCAACTGGCCTGTCACCCCCAAGCGCTTTACAGAGCCTGCTGGCTTGCCCGGGGGTGGGGCAGGGAGGCATTAGCCCCATTTTACAGACAGGGGAGTCATTTCAAGCTCCCGATGAAATGCAATTAGGTGCACGGGGAGGAATCGGGGCTTCTCCCCCATGGCAAATGCACTGAAAACAACCGATACCCCAGGGACCAAGCGGCCAGGCTGGCTGGGCCCGGGAGCACGGTGCGGGGGCTAATGCAAACCATGTGCTGGCTGCGCTCCTCTTTGTGCCCGGCCGCAGAGCTCGCACCGTCACCCCCTCCTTGCCCGCTCGGCGGGGTGAAGGCTGGTGGACCCCAGGGGAGGGCAGGGGGGTGCCGGGGCACCTCGTCCTGGTGGCGACGGCTTGGGGGGGACGGGGTCTCAGCCCTGCAGCGGGCGGAGGGAGGGGGTCCAGTTGAGGAAGGAGGCAGCGTGTCTTTCATTCGGAAGAAAGCCGGGCTTGCATCACCCCA